AGATACATATCCCCACAAGCATGCCTGTGCTCGTACGCCCACATGTACATGTGCGTGCGTGCGCGCGCGCGCACACACACACACACTGAAAAACTACGTTAAAAGAGACATGGCAGGGTACAGAGACACTATTTGAGGAAAAGAGCTCCCAGTGTGGCGGCCCCCCCATGAAGAAAAAAATGGATCTTAAAAAAACAAAACAAAAAACTTCAATTGAAAGAATTCAAATAAGTTTAGAAATGAAATAAGTTATTCAAAAGCCAACTCATTCAATGCCAGACATTTTTATTAAATTGGGAGAGCTGGTGCCAGCCATTTTTTACCATTTTGACGATGTTCTCTAGCTTTATAAGCATGGAACCCACCAAAAGAAAGCTTTCATCCTCTTCTTTCATCAGGAAAAAAAGACATGTCTGCCTTTTATAGCATTCCTTAGTTAAAGGGAGTTGAACATTGGTTTCTTGAAAATACTCTTTTCCAAGAAAAATTCTGAGAAAAAAAGATTTTTATGAAAGGACACATTTTTTCATAAAAATCTGTGTTAGACGGGTGACTCTGACTATATTCTTGAGATGATAAAAAAAACAATCTTGGTCATATTTTTAATATGAGCCATAAATCTAAGCTCTGTTATACATTTGTTCCAAGTGTCTATTTATCCATATTATCTGTCAATGTTAATTTATTGATGTAGTCTTTTGAACCTTTCTCATGATCTAGTTTTAAAGCGACTAGCTACAAATTAACAAATCAATCAAGTTAACTAGCCAGTTAGTCAGTAGGGAGTTTGCAAATTACATAGTTATTTCTGAGCAAGGTAATTTGCTAGCGAGTTAGGTGGCTAGGAAGCTAGTTAGTTGATCAGTGAACTGGCTGCTGTCAAAATAGCTAGGTAATAGTTACTTAAAGAGCTAGCCATTGAGTTAATTAGATAGCTAAGATAATAGGTATCTGACAGCCAGGTAATTATCGAGACAAAAGAAAAATCATGAATTGTATGACATTAAAAGCATTTGATTACATAAGTTTCACTGGAATCAACCCCCACAATTTTCAGGGGAATAGGACAGCTTGCTGCGGAAAATGAAAATGTGTGAGTACTGAATGTCACGTTGCGAGGTGGTGGTGGACCCCAAAAAGCAGGCAACAGGGAGGAGCAGGTTGTACTTTAAGAAGTGTATTGAAACAGAGAAAACTAAATCCAAAACAAACATAGTCCAAAGTAGCAAACAAAAATCACAACTGAAGCTAGAACGGAACTGTGACCAAAACATGACCGAAACAAACCTGACAACAGCAGACAAATGGCAACAAACAAACATGACAGTAGCAAAGAGCAACAATGACCCGACAATGAGTGGTCGGGCTGGGAGTCCTTTTAAAGCACTAATTACCTAATGACCAACAGGTGTGCAGCTGCAGGGGAAGCCCTACAGTGCCACCTGTTGATCCCAAACCGAATCATGACACTGAACACCCCTAATAGGGTTTGTAATTTCCAGGAGTACTTTAGTCTGAATGAAGTTCCTTAACTCACTTCAAATTGTTTCCTCTGCACCAAGATGCCTTCAGATGGCACCAGATACTGTTATAGCATAAATACAGCAAATACTGTGTGTGAGCTCTTCAGCTGGTCACGCAGGATCAGTTACCCCCCCCACCCCACCCCACACACACACAATTTGCAATTAGATAAATTCTGAACTTCAAATATACTGGGCTTCACTGTATACATCTTACAATAATGAAATAAAAATGAAGTAACCTAAATTTTGTTACGGTAGTTTTTTTTTTTTTTCCATGCAAAGATTTACACTATTACTAACAAAACTATTATGAAATTCTAAACAGCAATATAACTAAACCAAAAAAAGGGGGCTATGATTGTTAATAGATTTAAGCGGGAACAGAAAGTGACACAATACTGTATAGAGCGCTGAAACCGAAAGACACAGTTCACACTTAGATAAATGTGCTGTGTGTTCAGTCTGGCAAGCAAGCAGGCATCAGCGGGAGTGCAGTTGTGTAACATTGCCACGGTGCAGCCTCTTCTACCAGTGCACATGATGTCTTCTCTTGGCATTTGTATCTTATTTTTCTTCAATGATGAACTTCACATGGGATGACTAAGAGTTATTTTTATTTGTCCAGTTAGGTTATGACACTGGAGACACACAGAAAGTAATCCCACACCCCTCCAAAAAAGAAAGAAGGAATGAAAGAAAGGAAAGAAACAAAGAAAGAAAAGAGAAAAATACAAAGACGGGAAGAAATAAAGAAAGAAAGAAGGAAACAGCGACAGATAGCCAGCTCTTGAAACCTATTGCGCAAATTCAATGCTGGAGGGGGAGCCACACTTTTTCATCAGTGCTACATCGTACCATCCATTTCCTAACCAGATGTATGTAAAGTGCTATTTTAGATTAGGTCAAAATATGTGCATATGTGCCAAGTACATGCTAGTATTGTATTTAAATTTTTCATGTTACATTTTTCAATGAGAAAGAAAATATCCACTATCCTAAATCAATAATAGAGAGTTTGAAACAAACAAAATAACCACATTCAGTATTTTTCTCCAGTTCATAAAAAACACACTATTCAAGGATGTCACAAAACTGCTTAACAGCAAACCAAGATTAAGTACAATAATTCATTTTATGCATTTTTTTTTCAGAAAAATGAACTCATTCAAAATTTTAAAATGATCGAGGTCATTTGTTTGACCTGCATATAATTCCAAATCCGCAAAAAAATAATTCGTCTACTCCTGTTGTAGTACAGCACTGTATAAGATCTGGAGTAAGTGCACCTAAGCAATGTCTGCCATCTAGTGGTGAATGAGTGGCTAATAACTGATATCTAATATTACAACTTAAAACTACAATCAATGCATATTCACAATCCAGCACCTACAAATTAGTATATTGGTGGACTTTTTATTTGATTTTTTTTCACTATTTTGTTTTTATCTGGGATTTTGGCCCACATTTTCTACCAGTTTTTTGAACAAATAAATGAATAAATCAATGCTAAATTAGCCCTTTGCCAATTATCATCAATGTCTAGTTAGTTAGTTCGCTAGTTATAAAGTTTGTTTCACACATTTACGCCCCCGCACCCCCAAAAAAGAACTATCCATTAGTTAGTCAACCGGTTAGTTAGCTACCCTATTGATTAGCTGGTTAATTAACTTCTGTCAAACATTTTGTAACTGAGTGAGGTTGTCATCAGTTACCTAAATAGCCAGCTTGTTGCTTAATCAGATGGGTGGCTAATAACTGATATCGAATCATTTATCTTACCAATTAGTGTGTTGCCTAGTTAGTTACCCTTCGAGTTAGTTTAGATACCTATTTCACTAGTTAGATACCTATCATGTGCATTTTTCAGCTAGTTCGCAAAATAATGTATGTATGTATGTATGTATGTATGTATGTATGTATGTACCGTATTTTCCACACTAAAAGGCGCACTGGATTATGAGGCGCACCTTCAATGAATGGCCTATTTTGTAATTTTTTTCATATATTGGACGCACTCCATTATAAGACACAATCTACAATGCATCCACTAGATGAAGCTACGCTCAAGGAAATGCCAACAGGACACTACACTACACTACACCCTGATTTATATAGCGACGATCAGATGTCAGTAAAACGTATTTAATAAAGCAGCGACACAGTTCACTTAAACAACAGCAAGTTATAACATTGACTCGTTAACATGGAACTCGCTTGCCGCTGCTCTATTTCCGTGTTCAACTGCATAATCGATCGCCTTAAGTTTGAACTCTGCGTTGTAAACATTTCTCTAGCAAGGAGCCATTTTGGGGTTGACATGTTACCGTAATGACCATAGACAAGGTGCATCAGATTTTAAGGCGCGCTTTTAGGTGCAAATACGGTATGTATGTATGTGTGTATAGTTAGTTAGTTAGTTAGTTTATAAATACCTGTATCTAGCTAGCCAGTTAAAAGGCCTGGCTGATCAGTTAACCAGCCATAAAATAGTATATTTATTTAATGAGTGCAATGGCTCTTTTTACGAGTGCAACACTGAGACTTCTTTCACTTGAGTATCAACTGAACAGCTGCTGCATTTCCCTATCTATGTGTCTGACTACAGTGTGTGTGTGTGTGTGTGTGTGTGTGTGTGTGTGTGTGTGTGTGTGTGTGTGTGTGTGTGTGTGTGGGTGTGGGTGTGTGGGTGTGCCAGTTTGTGTGTCAACTTGTGTAAAAAAACACAAATAAGTCTTTTGCCCATTAGCTCCGATGGAACATGAGCGGTTCAGTAAATGGGTTCCTTGGTAACAGTAACCTGGCAACGAACTGAATCCATCAATGACGAAAGTTGTCCAAGAGGGAGCAACTCATTGATGCATCGACTCTTCGTTTATGGTCAAAGAGACTTGATAAATGAATTGAGTGTAACATACTGATATCATCTTATTAGGAGTAGGCCATTATTTTACATTTTAGACATACTGTACTATGACACAATGTTACCTGTATACTGTATTACAGTATAGGTAGATAAAAATGACAATTTAATTTAAAATGAAAAACAGTTAATTCCATCTATTTTCAACACCGCTTATGCTAGTCGCTGGAAACCTATTCCAGTTGACTTGAACAAAAGGCAGACGAAAACCCTAACTGGTCGACAGCCAGTTGCAGGGCACATAAAGAGACGAACAACCATTCACACCCTCATCCACACCTTCACTTAGTAGGAACCGAGTCCACACTGCCCGCACACAAGTTGTAGTTCCACCACACCATCTGCGACTCGTAAATCCAAATGCATTCTTTTACTATTGTATTGTAATTTATTGTCATCCATCATCATCTGTTTTCATACCAACTGTCCTCATTAGACTCACGGGTGAGCTGGAGTCTATCCTAGCTAATTTTGGGTGAGAGGCAGGGAATGACCTAGACTGGTCATTAGCCAATAGCAGCAATGCATGATATGTAACAGGTAAATGTTCTTACCACACCGATAGAAAAGTAGTTGTTGACGATGTTGTAGGGTACCGGGTCACCCTTCTCCTCCTTGTCATCAGGCACAATATCGATGTTCCAGCGGTCCAACACCACCTCGATGCTATGCTCAATGTCGCGCAGGAACTTCAGCAAGCTGCCCCCCTCGTATCCTGACAACACACATTTAGTAGGATTTCAACCACAATTTTTGGGGTGCAGTAGGAGGTTCAGCATGTAGCTCGTATTTTTGGAATGTGTCAAGACCAACCTTGATAATTGGGTGGAATTTTCTGAGTGTGACACTCCAGCAAGTTGTTGTTGGCAAATTTTAGGATGTAATAAAATGAAAATACTTTTGTTATTGTGTGCTTTCATATGTATCTATCTAGCTAGCAGCTAGCTATGCTATTTCCCTCAGTAATATAAAAACAACAGACACACATTGATGAGCTGGAGCATTGAGGTTTTGTTTATCTCCCAAAACCAACAAAGATGTTTAGCATAATCATAAATTTTGGAAATACTACTTAGATTGGACAATGACAGTAAACGAATTCTCATTTCAAGTACTGTACTGCTTCACAGGTGTCTGGATTAAGAAATATTGCATGGAACTCGACAGTGTTTAATGAGCATTACATGATATCACACAAAATTCATGGCAACAATACTACTTCAAAATGAAAGCTTTAGTAACAATGACTTCTTTTTTCCAGATACTTTTGAGCACCTGGAAAATTTTCATAAAATGGCTAACCTAATTCAATGGTAAATACCATATTTTTACTTCTCATATTAAAGCTGTGTTGACACTTAAATCACATCTTTGTTATTTAGTTCATTTATTGTGGCATATGTAGGCAAACATTTAGATGCCAATGTCAAATACTCGAGGCCTCTAAATATTGTCTTTCTGTTCGTAAGTGCCTTTAACTACTATTAATATGATTCGATTACAGTGTGATCATCAAACATTTAGTCGTTCAGGTACTCCTGTCAATTTATCTTCAAAGCTAAAAATATCGAGCAGGTGTTGATATTTTCGATCTGGGTGACTCACAGTTGAACATTGTCTCAACAGGGTGGCTTGTTACATAAAATGGTACATCAACTAAATAAATGTGTTGCAACAACTCTCAGGCCCCATCTTTAAGTGGGAACTCGTGAGCCAGGCTCTAACTGCTTTCCACTTACCTCCTCAATAGGTTTTTTTTTTTTTAACTACAATGATGTTACATAATGCGCAATATTATCTTCATAGCTGTGTAATTCCATCATGCGGTTGCATTTCATATTTTCCGTGTATAATTTTGTCAACAAGAATTTGCTTGCAGGACTAACAAAAACAAACATGCCCCACAGTAAGTTCCAATAGAAACGTTTCACTTAAAGTAATGACTATGACTTTGTGTATTAAAGCATGTAGGGGTCTCACCTCCCCCCCAGCGGAGGCAGCGTGCCAGGTCGTTGCCTGTCCCCAGTGGCAGGATGGCTACAGGGGGGTGCCGGGCGAAGTTGGCCTTGTCTGCAGAGACATATTTCTATTGTCACATTTGCTCACCAGTGACTGAGCAGACAACATGAAAGGACAGTTTTTTGGAGGCTTTTTTTTTTTTTTTCCAAAAAAGGTTTGGACGTTTTCATCGACATTGATTTTGGTCATGATGACCTCACATTTCTTCTTTTTCAAAACATTTTTGTGACAGAAGTGTGCATAATGCCTTTGAAGGTTACATCTGACCAAACTACATAATCAAGAAAATCAGGGAAAAAAATTACATTGGAAGCGAATGCTGACAATGGAGAACACATCCACTATCATGAAGAAAAATTACACAAGGACCACGTGAACAAAGTCGTACAAGTACCTATACAGTCCAGGATCCAACCGACGGTGCCGTCCCCGCCGCATGCAAGCACTCGGAAATCAGGGACGTCGTAAAAAAAGTTGAGCCTGAGAGGAGAGATGTGACAACGGGTGGTTCGTTAGCGTCAGTAACGTCAAACATTGCTTTTTATGAATTCTCATTAGCTCAATTCTAAGCAGTGATGTTCGCGTGACGCTAATGCTACATAGAGGAACTGATGTCGCTATGTTAGTGAGGAGGGGTGGGACAGAACAGTACTGAATACTGTGCCCTCAAAAAGTATTGGAACGGCAAGGTCAATTCTTTTGTTTTTGTTTTGCCTTAAAGACATTTCACTTTCAGATTTTGCGCTTTGTGCTGTGGGTCCAAATATGAAGTCCGTGCAAAGCTTTGGACAGATCATCACTAGAATGGAATGTAAAAGAAAAATATAGCAATTAGGCTACTGTAAATTATTTATTTACTCTTATTGCATGGCTGTCAGCTTATGATTAAAAAAACATGTTGTTATATTAAATTACCCTTAGTTCCTCGTTACCTCCCAGAATTTCCAATGATTCCCATGCAAAGTATCTAATTTGGAATTCCGCTAGTTACAATATTTCCCTGCTTTCCATTGAAATTTCCTGGAAATTTTCCGGAAATTTACTGGAGATGTTCGACCGCTTTGCTAACCCTAGGAATGAGATGAAGAGAGACTGTCCATCCATATGTGCTCACTCCACCTTCACCATCTTCTCCTGAGCTCACACGACCTTCAAAGGGACCTTTCATGTGAGTCGGGACAAAGGTGTCGTTGGAGGCTTTCATCTCGAGCAGCTGCAAGCGGCCAAAGATGCCATTCACTCAAGCCAGCCACCTGGCGCTCAGTGGACCATTAATGCCCACATTTAGTCCACAAGTATGCAGAATTCATATTACGTACGCTAAGAGTGAAACTCTTTGATATATAGTGGCCATATTGACAGTCTGCAGTACCGTTAAGCATATTTCTTCAATCTTTTCAGATTTGATTTACTTGTAAAATTTGGAAATTAGAAAAAAAACATACGTTTGTCTTATCCTTCCTAACTTCATGGATTCATGATGTTGCAACTCTTTACTTTTAATTGGTAGAAAATTAAAAGAAATTACTTGTTCTTCATTTGTAAAGATAAAAACAAAGTAATGCAAACATGATGTGAAGATGTCGATGAGCTCCTCTTTTAATTTTTTTTCATGTGTTTTATGTGTTTCTGTGATGCTCTTTTTCCCCAAAAGAAATACTTCTCGCTTGTATTTCTAAATGTTGATTTTTAATGGGTAAAATGTGGAAAATAGTACCGGTAAATGTATTTCTGAATTGGTATTTTTTTGTGGATAAAAAAAATTAAGAAATTCTGTCTCTGGTGAGTTTAATTAAATGTAAATATTGATTTCAAACATGTAAAAAAGGAAAAAAATATGTCAATTGTTATTTGATTCTAAATATTTATCAGTTTTTATCAGTAATTTCTAATTACATAGCAGCTGGACAAAAAGAAAAACAAATGAGTCAGACACTTCGATTAAAAAAAAAAACAACAACAAAAAAACCTTTGTTCAGCTAATATTTAATTTGTTTCTAAGAGGGGGATCGGTAAAAAATGATTGCAATATTTCAATACAGTATCATTAATTAAAAGTGCGGAAAATTTGCAATTTTTATATTTTAGCAAGAAACACAAAGTCAGCGCACATGATTTGTTTTCACAGGCCACAGGAAATTATGTGGCGGACCGAATCTGGCCCGCTGGCCTTAACTTTGACACCTGTAAATTTAACATTACAAACTCCATTTAACATAGTCTTATGCCTCTATCTCTGTCAAATCTTATCAAAGTGTTTTTTTTGAGTGCGTTTATGTTGGATCTTAATGCCCTCTTGGATTCTGAATAAATTCAGATCTGCGGCATTGCTGGGAATCGTGCAATAGCACAAGGGTTGGTGGTTGGAGTTTGTGTACACATGAGTCACTTCCATTGTCTATGTCACTGTGAAACATTCATTAATCCACTTAATCCCAATTGTCTGTTCTGCACTGGGATTTTTATGAGCGACAGTCTAAAACAAGCACGTGTTAATGGGCTAAAACCAATCTCCCTCTCACCTCACTGCCAGCTGAGCCTGTTGCTATGGCGCCATGGCGACACTCTGCCTCTTTTGAGAGATAAGTTAACCCTGTCGGCAACCTACATCCATTCAATTGTGTACTTAACACCGTGGCTGGTGAGTGCCATTTAAATCCTACTCATTATCTAAAATCAATTGGTTATGTCACTCTTCAAGGAGGTTGCAGATGTATTTAAATCAACTTAATGGATCGCATTTACCTGAGTGCTGGGCCACCTTGATCCAAACTATGCACCTGCCGTGGGTTAAGAAGGTACCGGAACTTCCTGAGAACCCTGACGGAAATAGAAGCAATCAGTTTTTAATGCCCGAAAAGGAAAATTAAAAACCCTGTCAAATGCTAACTAATTTTACTTAGATTTAAATATTCATTTTAAAATGGGTCATAAAACAACAACAAGGCGGCAAAAGTACTTGCACTCTCTACTTATACAGAAGTACAGACACTTGTGAAAAAAAGATTCTGCCAGAAGGGATAGACATGAGTGAGAAATTAGTTTAAAAAAATGGTCACTTTTATACAATTTAAAAAAATATATTATAAGTATGATCCACATACATCCAATGGAAAAAAAAATGCATAAAGTAAAGGAAAAACATTTCAACAGACTTCTCACTGTACTGGTATGGATGCAAATGTTTGGCCATTTTTAATAAGACTTTACAGTTTCATTATGCAGTTCATAAGGCATTTCATTGTTATATTAACCCCTGCATGGCGCCTTTACATTCGCAAAAACTAAAAAAATAACAAGCCTATTTTGACAAACAAAGGACTAGAAAGTACAGACATCGGTTTTCAAATGTTGGGCGCAAGATGAAAACATCCTCGGAAATACAGCACAAACTGAAAAACATCCCATCTTATTCATTTTCAGCAACTCAGATCAACACATCTCAGTTTCTTCACTTTTCACTTCCTGTAGGTGGAATGACGAGGCATCGCGAAACTTTTGCCCATACATTGATTTTGCGCTCTCAAACTGTCCATATGCTAATGAGCTCAGTCATGTCTGCACACAAGTTCCCTGTGACCTCTGGAGAGTTACACAACTGACGGACAACTAATAACCGAAGTGCTGTGAATGACACACGTACATTCTGTAATACGTGTCCTATATGTCCTATTGAACAATACATGCTGGTGATGTAATATGGTTCCATACAGAAACCAATTGCGTAAACTCTTGGCTCGTCAGCGTCCCTCTGCGTAAAGTCGATTAGCTTAGCACATTTGAAACTAAGGGCAGCAAGCAATGTTGAAAATGGAAGGACAGATGTAGATGGCCACCATGTGTCTGAATACACTTCTTTCATTAATACAGTATGTGATTTAAGAAACGACAATGCGAAAAACATAAACGATCTCACCGTTCCCCCTGTCTTCCGCCACTTTTGGGATTGACCAGCACCAGCAGAGGATGAGTGCCTGGTAAGGGCGAGATCTGTAGACAGGATGTTGAATCAAGAACGTCAGTTCTTTAGTCTACAGAGTGAGTTTTGTTTTTCTGTTGGAGACGTGGCCTGAATAGCGAATTACCTGAAGTGCTTGTCCATCTCCTGGGGAGAATTTAAACATGTGGTTGATGTCGTCCGGACTGGTGCAGGGAGGCGATTCGCCCTCGCCGCGTTTCACCGACTGGCGGTCCTGCAGACAAGTTTGGCGAATGGAATCATGTGAAACCTTTGATCTTAAAAGGAAAAAAAAAATCATGAAGCCATCTTCTATCGCGCTTATCCTCATTAGGGTCACGGGTGTGCTGGAATCTATACCAGCTGACTTTAGACAAGGCTTACACAAAGCAACTTAATGTGCTAGAAACATTCAATCGCAAACAAAACAGCTGAGGACATTCAAAAGGAAAGCAGACAAAAACAAAAGTAGCTGACCAAAATTACAAGAACAAAGAGTGACAACATTCAAACGGCTTACCACGAGCTTTACCGTCTTTGAAAATAAATGCAAAGAAATATAAAGTACCATTGTAAAATGACTGAAAGACCATAGAGTGAAATTGATTTTAAAATGCCCGACAAACCTTCATCATATGCACTCGGATCTGACTTCACTTCTGTTGGCAGTTTATTTCATTTACATGCAGCATAACAGCCAAATGCCACTTCACCATGTTTACTTTGAACTCTGGGCTCCACTAACTGACCCGAGTCTACAGACCTCATAGCCCTACTTGGTTTATATTCAATATTTATATTCAACCAGCATTGCTTTTGGGAACAGTCTGGAATGGTCGCCAGCCAATTGCTGAGCACATGACACAAGAACCATTCACACTCACATTCATACCGACAGACATTTTAGAATCAGCGTGTATGCATTATTATGTGTCGTGACTTGTCTCTGATTGGTAGTTTTTTCTCCTGAGCTGCACTTACCTGAATATCAAATTAGAGGCACAAGATTGCAGCCAATGATGGCAATTTTTTTCCACAGGTCATATTTCTCATAATATATTGCTGTCATGTTATAATAATTATTTTTAACAAATATGACAAAAAGTGTTTCTTTTTGGGAAAAATTGCTTTTCCCAAAAAGAAACATTTTTTTTTCCCTTTCAGTCCAAACACAGACCAAATCGTAGTTTACATTCAAGCCTCTTGTGAGGCTTCTTAGAAAGTCATAGGCCCAAAAACAGAATCAATTTCAAAGTCTGAAATGGAGGCAGGTGCTTGTCAAACTCTAATTCAGACAAAAAGAGCCACAGCATGACAGGACATGATGTGCACCTGCTGTTTATAAAGGAAAGTGACATGGTTTGTTTTTGAATAGCAAATGAGTAATGTGAGTCTATTGGTTATCCTTTCATATCAGCAGTGGAAATAAAATAAAAATATTTACAGTAAGTAGATTTATTAGTTATCTGTACTTTATTTGAGTATCTATCTCATTTGTTGACTTTTACTCTCTACATGTTAGAACCCCTGTACAGTGGTACCTCTACTGACGAAATTAATTGGTTCTGGAAGAAATTTCTTAACTAGAACAATTAGTAAGTAGAGACGCGTTTTCCATGTAAATGCCTGAATTTGTTCAAAGCCCCCCAAAATTCTGACATAAATGTTTCCTAAAGCATAAAAATGCATCAAAATATGTAACAAACACATGTTACAATTATGTTATTGCACAATAAATGAGAGTTGTGCATAATGTAAAGGACAAAGAATAAATAATTAAAATGATGGTCATTTAACTTTTAACATCTTCATCGTTTTTGCCCTCTTTAGTTCATGTACTTTCTCAGAAGTGGTTTTTGCCTGGCGTTTCGTAAAGAACTGATCCAAGGAAGTTTGCTTTTGTCGTCTTTTAACAATCCTTCGAAAATGTTCAAGGCTAACATCAGCATAGTGAACGATCGCCGGACTGGCGAACACTTGTCACTTTTCACATTCGGAATGCCTCCTGGCCCGAGGGGCGAATGACCATGACGCTGCATCGACACATATCTTTTGCTTTGTTAATTATAAACAATTCTTTATTAAAATCTGTCGCATCGACACATATCTATCTATCTAGCTATCTCCACGCATAGACACATAGGAGAGGTCCCTCTTAGCCAATGGGATGCCAGGATGATGCTCGGTAATAGCCAAAGGCAGGGCAGCTCTAAGTATGTTGCGTTGAGGAAACTCGGAGCTGCGACTAACAGCCCATACTATATTTTTACCTTTCATATCTTGACATTTACAGTATTTCGTAAGAAGAGGCAATATTTTCCCGTTGAGGCGTTTCGTAACTTGAAAATGTGTTCAAATAAGAGACGTTCGCCAGTCAAGGTACCACTGTATATCAAAGTACTGTAGTCTCCACTGTAATGTGGTACAATAAGAAGTGTCGTCTGTGACTCACCAGGACGACGGGACAAATGTAGGAGGGTAGCAGAGTATGGTCCCTCAAGGCTCCGCCGTCACACTCTGGCTTCACATGGGATGCGCATTTATTGTGAAGCTGTGGAGGACAGCAAGTCACACAAACAAACGTGATAATACAGTACATCTATTTACCCGTTTTCTATCCCCTCATGAGGGTTGCGTGTTCACATTTACACTTATGGAGAATTTAGGGTCTTTCCCTAACCTGACATGCATATTAGGGAGATTGATGGAGGAGGCCGCAGTGTTTGGGAAAACGCAAGCGTAGAGTAGGAAGGAAAATAAATAATACGTTCTTCATATTTTAGAACAGTCTTGAGAAAAAGACTGAGTGATGGCATTGGCCGTCAATTCTGGAAAGCAACCATATGATGTAAAAGCAAATCAGCGAGGTCATCTAGTGGATATAAGTAGTATTGCATCTAAACACAGCACAAACAGGTCAGGAAATGTGTGTTTCGTAGATTTTTTTTCTTTGTTGTAAAAAAATGCTTCCTTCCGATAAATTTTATACCATTTGAGAGCCTGTTTATATTCCTTAAAAACTGTGCCATGCTTGCAAGGAACCTGCATTTGTGGGATCTGCAGGAGTGCTGACCATGTGGCTTGAGTCCATGAAACATAGGACTACTTTTGCCAACTACTGTGAACTGCTGAGGCAGGTCAAGAAAGACAAAGAACAAACGCAAGGGTCATTAGTCAGAAGGAGTCATCTTGCATCATGACAACGCAAGGCCTCAAACAGCAGCCCAAATGGTGCAGACCCTCAATGAGCTGGGCTGGAAACTGCTCCCTCATCCCCCTTACAGCTCAGACCTTACCCCTTCAGACTTTCACCTTTTTGGTACCTTAAAAGCGTTCACGAGAGGCACCAAGTTTGAAAGTGTCAATGAAGTCAAAAGTGTTGTGAACGACTGGCTTAGACATCAGTCCGAAGATTTTTACGCTGAGGGAATATGGAAGCTTGTGCACAGATGGGAAAAGTGTTTGACAGTACTGGTAGACTATGTTGGAAAAAAAAAAGCAAGCTTCTATCTGTATTAGAATTCCTTATACCGAAAAATTCCCCTTATTCACTGAATGACCCCCGTATATAAACATTTTTAGGGGGCCATTAATTATTCACAGATTTTCGCTATTTATATGGTGGGGGCAGACTGTACTGTCAAATCCATCCATCCATCCATCCATCCATCCATCCATCCATCCATCATTACTCACAGTGATCTGGCACCACACACAGTGGAGGCCGGTCAGGCCCTGGTAACATTTGATGCTCCGGTGGCATCGGTCACATTTGGTAGGGGAGTTTCCCTCCATCCATACATGCTGCATAGCCTGGAGACACACACACACACACACACACACACACACACACAAGCAAGTTTCTTAAAAGTATAGTTACTATGTCTTGACATCTTCCCTGTACAAACATGAACAAAAAAACGCTCACTTTTTCCTTACCAAAAGGTGCCACTGGACAAATTTTGGAGTTTTTTCTGTAAGATTCAGAAAAAAAAACTAAAACCTTTTGGAGTATAGCAGGAGGTGGACCCCTTAACAAGTTTTTGTCATTGTTTTAGTTGTCGATTACTTTTCTGCCGCCCGAAGTACTCTGGCACCTTTATAAACATTATGAAAAGGTCTATGATGAATTACATTGACTTGTTAGTGCGTGCACTTACGTTGGTGTGCCTGCGAGACTTGGCGTAGGTGCTGATGCAGGCGGCGATGTCTTTGGACACACAACGCTCGTGCACCGTGTATTTGCATACTGTCCAAAAAAAAAAAAACCAACACACTTTTTAGTGGGAACATACGTGTAACATACGTGTACGTTAGCATAGTTGTGGATACCCACTCACAGGAGCAGCAGAGGCCCTGCTTGCGCACACCCAGTAGCATGGTGTGACAAAAGTTACAGTAGGCCGGTTTGTTGAAGTGCTTTAGGCGCCACACGTGCTGGCCGTCCTCCTGAACATTCTAGTGGGAGGCACAAAAATGACGAAATGAAGACAATTGATATGCTTGGCCCGTGAACCAGAAAACTGCAGACATACAGTGTCCATGCCGAGCAGAACCAGTAAGGGGATGGTGGTCAGGCCTCCTCGGATCCACTCTTCCAGGGTGACAGTGCCATCTCGATCGTAGTCGATCTCCTCCATCATTTCCTTCAGAATCTACGGCGGCAGAGGCAGAAGAACTGAGGCACACTTTCTACCTCACATTAGGCTTGGTAGAGATTTATATGTCAATATATAGTGCAATTTGCATAATAGCTAACGACTAGCATTAAAATGACCAAATGATTGGCAGTGGACACGTGGATGTGTTGTTGTTTTTTTTAAAATAATCTTGAATGTCCTTTAATTGAGTTTAGAAGACAGTTTGAGTTGGAAAAGCCCTCATTGCCATCTTTCAAATAGGACAAACCACCTAAATGACCAGCTTAATACATGTCAGAGACTCATTTGACCCATGTTATGGAGAAAACAGTACAACATTTGGATTTTGATCGCACAGATGGCAAATTTAGTTTAAAATTTGTTTGACACGTGTGACAGAGTGGAATGTTAAAATTGAAACAATGCTCGTAAAGTTGCTAAATGTTTCATGACTATTTCTATTTGCAAAATGTTATAAAAATCGAATGACTTGGAAGTCACTCAGTATCACAGAATTGTGAGAAATGTGCTTGGAGAGTTCCACTTTCCGAGACACCCAGAGGACACCTCATTAAGTACACCAGCATAATCAACCCCCCTGTGTAGTTATTTAAAGTGGCAATAAATTTGTGTGCTCTGCTGCTCACCGGCTGTAGCTCTGTCGAGTCCCACTCCAGATACTCGGCAACGTGTACCATCTGATTGATGATGCGGTCCAGCTCCTACCAAAGATCCCAAATAGGACAAAACAAAGCATTGTAGCACATGGATCACAACCGCTCACATCCAAACATGATGTAAAGACGCTACGATTTCCATAAGAGCAGCAATGTTCTGTTTATGCCTCGGAACCTGGCTAGCATTAAAATGGACTGACCATTACAAACGATCTTAATGTCAACATGGCGCCTGCCAACCGGCATCTATTCTTAGCTCAATGGGTAAGAATGGAAAGAAAAACTCACCGAACTGTCCAAGACGCCGTTGCCATCCGTGTCGTACAGCCGGAACATGACTGGAAGGAAAACGTAGAGAGAGCTCATTTTTCCTGAGTGACTAGGAATGTCGATCACAAGAAGAAATATTATCTCCACTGAATGGAAATGAATCTCTTCAACTTGCACCCAAGTTAAGTGGGGCTTTAACATGAGCATCACGTTATTGTGAGCCAGCTAGCTGGCCCTCTGAGGGGGATTTGAAACCCTGATTTGTTCAAGGAACTGTCCAGTAATTCGTTTCATTGGTCAGAACTACTGTACTCATCCTTAAGTTGACATGGCAGCAAAGAGAAAGGAAGAGATCCTCCCTGGCACTAGCTTCCCCCTCACGTCCGGGTCCTTCCTGCCTGTCACTCACACTCCAGCTTGTCCTCCGGCGTGCCGCGCTCCAGCAGGGAAAGGTAGCAGACGATATCCTTCAGGAAGACCACCTGTGGCACTGACTGGGGGGATCCTTTGTGTGGCGACGGGCTGCTCCGCAGCAATTGCTTCTCCGAGTGGCTTTTCTCTGTCAATGCACAATTTATTTTGAGATCAATCCACATATCAAACAGTCAGCCGGATGCAGCACAGTTGTGCAATCCCATTATTATTATTGTGCATTTTTCATGTAGCTCTTGTACTGGATCTCATTATATGTGTACAAGAAGATTATTTGAAAGACCTTCCCTTAGTTTAAATTTGATTCATGAGACACCATTACCATACATTAGAGACACAATATATCGTCAACTTCTTAAAATAATGACCTGAGTCAAATTTTGACAAATTTATTATTTTGCCTTCAACATCTCCTCAGTATGCCCACCACCTCTGTTAAAACATCCTCAGTTAAACAGATCATTCAATTCTAGGCCTGAAATGAAGTTATTAATACATAAAATATAATCAGGATGTGGTTCAGTTTTTCGTGTTTTCTGAAAAAAATGATATAGGCAATTATTTTAAGAGGGTGACAATATTCTCAATGACATCATTATCAACATCATGTGTGCGCTTCTTCTCTGTGTAATGTGCAACAAAATTTCTAACCCAGTGTCTAAATAGAATTTGACCATGAGGATTAAAATGAGTAGAATTGGAACATATAGACTGAAGATAAAATGGGTTTGTTCATCATGATTAAATTATGAAGGCTCCTTAAAAAAGCAGTTTTACAACTACCGTTTCCCCCTCACGTCCGGGTCCTTCCTGCCTGTCACTCACACTCCAGCTTGTCCTCCGGCGTGCCGCGCTCCAGCAGGGAAAGGTAGCAGACGATATCCTTCAGGAAGACCACCTGTGGCACTGACTGGGGGGATCCTTTGTGTGGCGACGGGCTGCTCCGCAGCAATTGCTTCTCCGAGTGGCTTTTCTCTGTCAATGCACAATTTATTTTGAGATCAATCCACATATCAAACAGTCAGCCGGATGCAGCACAGTTGTGCAATCCCATTATTATTATTGTATATTTTTCATGTAGCTCTTGTACTGGATCTCATTATATGTGTACAAGAAGATTATTTGAAAGACCTTCCCTTAGTTTAAATTTGATTCATGAGACACCATTACCATACATTAGAGACACAATATATCGTCAACTTCTTAAAATAATGACCTGAGTCAAATTTTGACAAATTTATTATTTTGCCTTCAACATCTCCTCAGTATGCCCACCACCTCTGTTAAAACATCCTCAGTTAAACAGATCATTCAATTCTAGGCCTGAAATGAAGTTATTAATACATAAAATATAATCAGGATGTGGTTCAGTTTTTCGTGTTTTCTGAAAAAAATGATATAGGCAATTATTTTAAGAGGGTGACAATATTCTCAATGACATCATTATCAACATCATGTGTGCGCTTCTTCTCTGTGTAATGTGCAACAAAATTTCTAACCCAGTGTCTAAATAGAATTTGACCATGAGGATTAAAATGAGTAGAATTGGAACATATAGACTGAAGATAAAATGGGTTTGTTCATCATGATTAAATTATGAAGGCTCCTTAAAAAAGCAGTTTTACAACTACCGTGACTCAGGAAGCTGCTGTGAAATTAGTCATTTTTGGGCCGAGAATAAAGAATACATGCCTGTGAGCATTGTCTCTCTATATGTATTGCTGCACCGTTTGTGTTAGTCGAAGAATCACTTAAATACTTTATAACACCGCCACATGGATGCTATTCATTGGATATAGAGTCTTGCATTCTTTGTTAGCATTAGTGAGGCTATGTGCCTGGTTTAAATACGCAAACTTTAACTGTCTTTGTTCTATGTGACGTGTGACTTCATCTATGTGACGTGTGACTTCATCTGGGAATGGCGGTAAACAGCTTTAGCCAATGGACGCCCCATATCTTGAAAAATGTGTCTCAAGGAAGTTTGTCATACATTCCAATGCACAAGTGTATTAAATAACATATATTAATGGAAGCACAATTTTAAACAATCACTGTGGCAGGTGCTCTAAAAATTGGCGAAGAGTCTGAAGATAAATTGCCTGGCTAACCTTGTGAGCGTTTCAGGGGTGATACTGGCAACTGAGCTGGGCCAGCATTGGGGGTCAGGGCATTATTGCTGCTCTGGAAGGGCTTGACCTGGATGCACGGAGAGCGGTGGGGCCCCCTGGGTGTGTGGGCCCCGGTTCTAGACCGCTGCGAGGAGGAGCCAGATGAACAAGGAGAGGTGGTGGGCCCAGTGCCGCAGGCAAGCTCTGGCGTGTGTCGACCCATCGCCGACAGGATGCTCTTACCATTCATGCCTTGGACACAAAAGGAAGGGGTCCTTTAAAATGGAAAAAAGTGGAACCCCTCAAGTCGAACACAAAGCCCTTAGTTGAGCTACAATAATGTTTTCTACTGGAAAATAATCATTTATTGGGTCAAATGGTCAACGTTACTCATTTTGTTTAGTAACGAGTAATGTTTTGAAATTTACAAAGGCATGGTGAATACTGTATGAGGGGTTTAAACGGGCATAATTCAGGATTACGTTGTATAATAAATTACTCCGTTGTTTCTTGTGTGTGTGTGTGTGTGTGTGTGTGTGTGTGTGTGTGTGTGTGTGTGTGTGTGTGTGTGTGTGTGTGATTCACTCGTGTGAAAAGGAGCATTGTAGTAGTGTTTGTGTGTGAGTGAGCGGTAATCCTGAATTATGTCCCTGACAGCCCCTCATGTAAGGCAAAGGTAAAGGCGAATACACCTTGGACTGGTTGCCAGCCAATCACAGGGAAATTCTCAATAGCTGTGCAAAATGAAGTTAACTACAAGACACACATTTTAAAAAAATGTTTCTTGTAGTTAACTTCATTGTATATGTACTGTATACCTATATGTAATGATAATCCATTGATGCTCACTGAACACATTTGGGGTGTTCGATTCTAGAGGTTCCTTTGACACAAAAAACAAGGAACATACGGTAAATTAACACAATGAAGCAAAGGAACATAACACAATGAAATTGCAAAGAGAAGAAACTCATCGGGGGAGGCAGGCGGAATTACAAAACTTGACTAAACAAATAGATTCCACAATGTTAAACAAACAAAACAAACAAAAATAAACAAACACCCATCAACTCAACAAACAGTATTGTTGGGTGGGGGAAGAGAAGCAGCTACAGCCAACCCGTCAAGGCAGGTCCGCTAGTACCTGTGATGGGGGCACAGGCCACCTCTGTGTGAATAGAGATACCAGCATCAATGGAGCAGGACTCTTTGAGAAGGAAACACATTGAGCAGCAATAAGACAACACTGATGCAGGATTATCCGTTTTAGTTCCAGTACTTGACGTTTTCCTCCACCTTAATTCCATCAACAGCACAGAAAACATGAAACGCTGCTTTTAATGAACGTTTGTTGTATCTTTAATGGCCTTTCTTCTTTACCTGACGACACCGAAAGGCGGACGACACCCTGAACTGGTTGGCAGTCAGTCACAGGGCACATATGGAGACGTACAACCAATCACACCCATACTGTCACTAAGTGGGAACCGACCCCAAGCTGTCCGCTCACAGCTCATGCGGGTGTACCAGTGCACCATCAGCGACTTCGTGGGTTATTTATAATTCACCAAACACCAGGTGGCAGTGCAGGCCGAAGCAACTGTCCATCCGTTCCACATTGAGGACTTGTCCTCATTAGGGTCACTGGTAAACTGGAGCCTATCCCAGCTGACTTTAAGAAAGACACCCTCCCTAATCACAGAGCACATATAGAAGAACATTCACATCTTGGGACAATTTAGTCTTCAGTTAACCCCGCATGCATATATTTAGACATACAATCTCCAGAGAAGCAGACAGGAGCCGGATTCAAAATCAGAATTGTGAGCCAGGCGTGCCAACCTTGAGGGTACTGTGCTGCCACCTGAAACAATTGTCACCAATCTCCTCTACTGAAGCTATTTATAATTTTACATATTATTCACTTTAGTCCACATAAAACTGTAACAAAAATCTACACAGGAAGTAGACTCAATTACAAAAAAAAGTATTTGCAATTGTTTACGAGTATGTTTGATATTCTATTAAGTTATAAAATCATCAATGTCATATAATCGATATAATAAAAATATCAAATGAAGTTTTTAAAAATTAAAAATTCATAGGCTTTGCAAAAATTAACATACTGCTACTAATAATACTAATATTGATTACGAACACTTCGAATTAGTAAAAACGCTAATATTTGCAAATAATCGTGCAAATTTAATAATAAATGCAAACTTTTTAAACAACAATGATACATCTAAGTAATTAAAATATTGAAAATAACAACAAATATATCATCAAGCAAAACCGGTGGGGGAGAGGGAAGTCTAGGCTTCCCTGCTCAGGCTGTTGACCCCGCAGTAGAGAATGGATGAATGGTGCCATTTAGTACTCATGAAAATCCTGTAAATCTCATATGAAAGTAATATCCCTTATGGGTTCTTGTTCCACACCATCCCTTTAACAGTGACTGAAATTAAAAAAGGTCAACTGAATTGTTCCCTATTTTTTGGCTATTATTCTTGCACTTTTATTTCAATACATCTATGCATCCATCCTTTTTTTTTTTTTTTTTTTTATCTGCTTTTCCTCACAAGGGACGCTGGAATGGGTGTGCTGGAGCCTATCTCAGCTGTCTTCGGGCAGTAGGCGGTGGACACCCTGAACTGGGAACACATGCAAACTCTACACAGGAAGACCGGATCTGAGATTTGAACCTACAACTTCAAAGCTGTGCAGAATACGTGCTAACCACTAACCCACTGTGGTTGTGAATCATTCAGTTAATAGTTAATATTGTTTTTGTTCACTATTATCATTATTTTGTTTCTTTTACTTAACTAGGAGTGACGATCATTTGGAAGCCCCATTTAAGTTGATAAATGTTGTCCCAGGCCAGGTTGACGGTTACGCGTTCAAGTGTCGCGTTGTATACTGTATGAAGAATTTATAAAATAAATGTGAAAAGAGCTCACCCAGTAAGCTTCCTGCTGCTCGACAACGGTCAGGCGAGGCAGCTCCCGTCTTGCTCTTGAAAGAGGTGAAGAGGTGCTGACACAGCTCTTCTGGGATGTCGTTCTCCAGGTAGGTGGCCATGAAGAGACGGAAGCCCTCGTAGTCGATTGGCTGCATGAGAGGAATATATTTTTCTTCAATCATGGCAAACTTAATTTTGTTGAATATAAAAAATATAAATAAAAACATATTTTGGTCTCAGCCTGTGTGGAATAAAGTCAATTGAACGAATGAAACAATAGCAAGACAATGAGCAATTGTTGCCAGATGGAGCTTCTGGAAATGCATTATACCAAACACACCGTTAAATGGACCTATTAATAAGTACACTGAATGGACCCAAGCATTGGGATGCACCTCTTAAATAACAATCACAGGTTGGATTTGGTCACTTCTTAATTCACTGTCTTTGGAAAAGGCTCTTGTCTTTTCCAAGTGCAAAAAGGGATTGATACATGAGTATGGTGTGGAACAAGAACCCATAAGACAAACACGGAATGGCCATTATACAGTATGGTGGTAAATTGGGTTCCTCGTGAAAATGGTTTAAGTCAATTTATTCCATCTATATACTTTGTGCAAATTTCATATCCTGTCGGTGGAGTGACTCCCTGTACTTTTATCCATATAGCTTGTGACTTTAGTTCCTCAGGGAAATGTTTTAAGTCCACTCACTTGCTCCATAACTGGTTGCACTTCTCACTTTCTGTATAAGTGGGTTGTGTCCCAATACGTATTTTCATAGACTGTATGAGTGCAATGCTTGAGGACCATTAATTTTTTTGCACTTTTCATTTCCTGTAGGTGAAGTCTGTCCCAATGCTTTTGTCAATTTAGTGTACATTGTTTGAGTTTCTATGTTAATGTAGTCTTCCGATGCAGAAAAGCATGAAATTGTGTGGCAAACAGTAAAACAATAATGACCTAGGAGCGCAACAAAAAATGGAGAGTGGGTCTAAATGGTAGCCCTCATGCACGATGAATACCTTAAACAAATAGAATACGTGTCACAAACGGCTGAAGAATTGTTGTCGGAGTTCCCACTGTGGCGCATAATATTAACACCAATTAGTAATGCATTGTCAATCGTTGCATGTACTGTATTGGGCCAGTAAAGCCTCCCCCCTGCTGCCACTCACTGATGTCGGGTTATGCTGAGCAGAACGTTGTGAATGTTCACAGCCAATGTACATGCAACCCACTGACAGAGAGACCAAATCCACCCAGCATGCACCCCCAGCACCACCTGGGTCAAGCCTTACTTTGTCGAGAACATCGCGCTGCTGTTTTATGTGTGCATAGATAGCAAGCAAGGGAAAGAAGGACAAAATTATTGAAGATAAATGTTTCCACCAGCTATTCCAGTCAAAATATATTATTAAAAAATGCCCCAAAAAAGTCCAAATCTAAGCAGAGATGTTCACAGGCAATATTGTAAAATAATCAGACCAATCCAGAAGAATGCACAAAGGCCGAAAGACAAAGGTAATATACAACTGAATGAGTATTTAAAACGCATCTCGTGTCATACAATATTTAAAACTATGACAGTTTCGGATTGTGACATCGGCTACAGGAATGAAGAGCTGTAGTTTCAATTTATTTCAAAGGGGATAGTAAATAAAGGTGCAATCTTGAGAATGAAACAAATTAAACTCATAAGTAAAAGCCCAGCAGTGTTTCATAAACTCTGAGAGATGGAAATCACATGGGTGCCTTGTATTTTAATTAAATATTATTCCATGAGTTCTATGATAATGTCCATCAAAACATCAAAGGATCCATCCGCTGCACACCAAACAAGGTAAAGTGGATCAAGTTGTGCACTTTTGGATTTGGAATGGAAACAAGTGGCTACGCGATGGGTTCAGACCCCCGTCATTCACGAAACATCTTCCCCTCAACTTGCCGCTGTTGGTTTAACCCCGCCAGCTCCCAAAGAGACCACCACCGCCACTCTTCTTTCCTTTTTTGGTAATACCCACCAGCAGATTTTAATTTGCCGTGCATCGTGCGATAAGTCCACACCACACATGAACACACAACTGCAGCAGTAGAAACGGAAGAAGCTGTGTCGATTTTATTATTTTTTTCCCCCATAAATGGATCGCTAGAAAATCAACATTAAGTTGTGGAAATTGTCTCTATTTCACTTTTTTTTTTTTTTGCACGTGTGTTGTTTTCATTTTCAAGATAAATTGAAGTTGAAAAGCAGTCTTTTTTTCCACTGGCTTCTGCGTGGTGAAATCTGTGGACAGCTAACTTTGGTTGCTTTACCGCAATGCAAGGTGATGATGTCATGTTAGCGAACAGGATTTGCATTCTGCCTGCTCAACTGGTCTCTATGGGCCAGATTTAGTCATGTTCATGTTCATGTCAACTTTATTGTCAAATGTGCTACATGTACAACATACAGGACAGATGAAATTTCTTTCCTCAGGAGAGAGAGGAGCCGCTGCGGGTGCCCGCGCCGCCATCAAAATAATTTTATACTGTATATTAATGTTTATTTGTTGTTATTGATTCGTTTTTTTAAGACACTATTTCTGTGTCACGTTTTTCACTTTTTGCGGTTTAGGTCATATTATGTGGAGGGGATTCTCAACTGTATTACGAGAATTTTGTTTTTTTCCCTTTTCTACGAAACATTTTTTCAACTTCCTCCCAAATATTCTGAATTAGTTCGAGTGCGAGAACAGAATGTGAACTTTCGGCGAGGAAAAAGTATGAGTAACAGCACCAAAAAAAACTTGGACTTAACATGTTAATGCAGCTGAACGCTTCATGCAAGTGTTGTTGCGCTGCAGTGCGCGCCCAAAAAGTCCCACCCCACTCCCAAAGTCTGGCCCCCCCTGCCGCTAGCGTCCCACCATGATGGTTCATGGACACTGGGGTGGACAACAGCATGTATATCAGTGATTCGCAGCTAACAAAATTGTGGAGCCCCATTAAAAATCAAGAGGGTTCTTCATGACATGAGCAGTCACCAAGATCGCCTGAATTTGACACTAACTTGACCTCGGCACTCTCAGTCGCAGTGTCAGATATATGGTGTTCTTGTTAAGAAAAAACATCATTTACAAATCCCGAAAAAAGATTCCTCATCTGATATTTTTAATTTCTTTCCTTCGCTTTGAAATGCCTTTAAATCTTTTGAGTTGCAAATGTGCTTAAATATCGTCACTATACGGTACATTCTTTTAGACATTTTAACCCTTTCATGCACACTGTTATCAGGTTTGATAACATGACAAACATGTCCACTGTAGTCACCGCTGTCCCTGAAAGGCTTAATAATCTACTTTTGCTCTCTCCGAGCTGCAAATGTCTTTGGCGTTCTCTTTGTTAATGCTTTTAGATGTGCTTATGGTTGTGTGAAGCACATTGAGTTGTTCTGTGTATGAAATGGGCTCGATAAATAAAGTTGTCTTGCTTCACCTCAACCGTTCATGATCTTTCAGTCTATTCACGCCTCCTCTTGGTGGAAAGTTGACACTACAATCAGTGAAATTTTCCACGTCGGTTTGCACGTTTTCAGTGCCCAAGTAATCGATGGAATAGTCGATAGTATACTGTAATCGATTCCAAAAGAGTCATTTGTGCCAGCCTACTTCTCACAAAACAATGAACAGCCGGACACATGCATTTAAAAGTTTCGAAATGGTCAAACTGAGTTTACCTGTAAAGGTGAGAGTGTATTTTAGCTTCAACCAGAAATTTCAAAGTCAAATACCCCTAACTTATGCAGGTCGTGTATGTGCTGCTTTGGCCTCAACCGGCTTATGTAGATATATATTAATCAAAATGAACAGTGTTCTTTTTCAGAGTGTACTTCAGCTAAATGTCTTGAAAGTGAATGTGACATTCAGTGGTTAAATATCACCAAAAAATCCAAATATATACAAGAGATATGTAATAAAAATGTCAGAAACCCAATAAAATATGAAAACCCGCTCTATGTGGTTGCGTGCTTCAGTCCTGCATGTCTTTGTAGTGATAGTATTCACATAATCCCACACTTCCTGTCTGCAACACCTTGCTTCTACGTGACCGACATCGCTGCCAAGCACGGATGGCCATGACACGTTTGCATAGTTTGCATTTGGAGAGGGCACAACATATCTAATTGAGCTAGTCTGGGGCATCCAAACTGATGGAAAAAGGGGCCGTTGCCTGTCTAAACCAGGGGTCAGCAACGCAAAATGTTGAAAGAGCCATATAGGACAAAAAAAAAAACAAAATACAAATATGTCTGGAGCCGCAAAAAAATAAAAGCCTTCTATAAAACTTACAATGAAGGAAACACATGCTGTATGTATGTAGGAGACTGCACTGTCTCAGAATTATTTATTCCTTTGTTGTGTGTTCACAAACGCCCCCATAGAATTTATTTTGCGATTTCCTCGCTTGATTTTTTGTTTTGGTGCATTATTTTCGCTTTTCTTAGTGTCAGTGAAATCATCATGAATTTCCGTTTTTCGGAGGCTGTCTTTGAACCCCTCTCGAGTTGAACGAGAAAGAGAGAAGGCACCGAGTCGGACGCAGACGTCTCTGTGTTTGTCGAGACTGTTAAAAGCATAAATAAAGTGTACGTTTTAAAAAAACCAACACCACAGCTCTCCTTTTTCGGAGCTGCAACGTGTATCTATATCTATTTGAGCTATATTAGCCTACTATCAAAATCTTTTTCCATTTTCAAATATTTTTATAAAGCTCCAAGGAGCCACTAGATGTCGCTAAAGAGCCGCATGCATCTCTAGAGCCGCATGTTGCCAACCCCTGGTCTAAATGATATGTACCTATGCTGGTTGAGTGGATCATTTGACCACATGGCAATAACTATAATCATCTTGCATCCATGGCAGGAAAATGAAAGCCTCCGTGTAATTTATCAAACCTCTTTCCAAGTCAACAGGGTTCGCGTGAAGAAAAAAAGACTCTTAATAGTTTATTGGTCTCTTTATGTCACACTTTATGCGCAAGGCAGAAATTGGGAATCAGAAGCCCAACAACCAGGGCTTTCCCCCGATTCGGTGATGAATCAAATTGTGATTCGAATGGGCTTGGAGAAAACAATCAGCGAATCATAATTGTCGGACTTGGATAAGAGCGACTCTTAGACTATCATATTACTTTGAGTCGTTGAGTCATTCTGACAAGAGCTGTGACTGTGGCCACCCTGTATTTACTTTTTAAAAATTCAAAATCATTCAGGATTTTTAGCTTGTGTTTATGGCCAATGCCATTTTAATTTACTGTGCATAGCTTCGGTGCAAGTTTTATTCAGCGAAAGGACACGCTCGTTGAAAGAGCTTGTCAGCTAACTTTTAAATTGTACTAGCCAGTGACTATTTACAACCTAGGGTTCGACGCAGCAGCCACTACACGTCAGTGTACTCTCTGGTTCAATCGATAGCTTCGAAATCTAAGGCTTCGAAAAGCACTTTGGGAACCGTGTGGTGGCGCTCAAGCACTAATTTGTGCCCTCCATTCATCATTAACTATTTTGATCTAATGGGATTTTTGGATGATGACATATCTTTATTTCGTAAAGATACAAAGAGTAACCATTTGATTCCATTCAGAAGTCATTCATTACTGTCAACACCAGAATAATAGTAATAACGACCAAGAATAAGAACTGGAATGTTCGCCAGGAAATTACTCTAAAAACACTTCCGATATGGATTATCATGGGACAAGTGGATTTAACACATTCCACAAATGAAATGGTACCTTGAATAACGAGTTGAAATGTTCCCCAATGAATCTCTTAACTCAATTTACATGTATAGCAAATCAATATTCTCCATTGAAATTAAATGAAATTCCATGAATCTGCCTGTATCCATTTTCCAAAATAACCACAACTTTAAATGTGAAATGTGTAAAAACCAAAAACACCATTGCATTATATGACATCAAACCATCACATAACGGACTAAAAGAGAGAGTAGAGAAATAAACAGATATTCTAAATCGTAATTAAAGCCAGAAGTCACAACAACTGTGTGCCCTGAGCTCTGTGCCTTTAAAAGGGGCATGACTTAGTCAATCAACTGATGCGTCACGTCAGGAGTAAGGCTTGCTATTTACTGTGTGAGCAATGTGAATTTTGGCCAACGAAAAGTGCTTGCGAGTCCTTTCATTTTGTGTTTCTGTGTTTTCGTACTGTTTTGGAACGGTATCAGTCACTGTCACTCTTCTCTTTGTTGGGAGATTGTGCTGACGCACAAGAAGGCATTCTCCAAGTGTCCACTTCACAGATCACTTCAGTGATCAC